TAATGTGCAGATTTTCAGACTGTCTTTGTCACCAGGGTAGCTCAGCACTCTCCTGCCACGTACCAAGCAACGCACCCAGTGTCTGCACCGCAGTTACTTCTTCCCCAGCCTGTCTTCCCTGTCAGAGTGGCGTTGTTGCCGTGCTGTACTCTGGGGGTTACTCTCCCTTGTGTACCACGTAGGACCTGTAGGACCTCGTTCCTCGTAAAAAGCAAGCGAGCAGTTTTGCAGCTGGAGGCGCTGGGGAAGAGGTGTTTTTTGCTGACAGCCTGAACTGCAGCTCCCCAAACTGCAGCAAGCGGAGGTGGAGCTGCAGCGGCACTAAGCGAACAGGACATACAGCTTCAGCTGCAAAGCGGCTGAGATGCAAAGCTGCTGACAAGCCAGCTTGTGATTCCGTAATTCTGTCCTTATCTATGGTTATCCTGCAGGAGCAGGTAGAGGTAGGAATTGTGGTATGTAAACTACCTCTAAAAAAAGCTCTGGGTGGGCAAGCTGGCTCCCAGGGTGGTGCTAGAAATGGTCCAAGAAAACCAGCCACAACAGAAGAGCCCACAGTTCCTACAACACAACCGTGAAGACTTGACCAATTCACGTCACACTCTGAATATTAGCAGTTGGACACGCGAGGGCGTACAATTTAGTGAGCGCTTTTCTCACCAGCCTGGATATTTTTAGAATCATAGAGTGGTTAGAGCTGGAAGGGACCTTAAAGGTCACCTAGTTCCAACCCCCTTTCCCTGTGCAGGAACACCTCCCGCTAGACCAGGCTGCTCAAAGCTCCATCCAGCCTGGCCTTTTGCTTCGGTTCAGTCCATTGTAATAGCTATTTACCAAAACCATGCTTCAGTAGCCAATATCAGCCAATCAGTCTTTCCTACTTGATATTATTGCAATAGTACCCTCGTGACTTCAAAATGTAGACGCATGCTCTTCAAAAGGCCTTACAGCCCCCTCTGAGCACCAGGCAGCACAAGGTGCTGCGAAGAGGTGTGCTGTAAGGCTGATTCTCAGCTAGTTAGAGACACAAGACTTAGCACAAGGTTACTCAGCTTTGTCCCACCAGCAGGTAAGCAGAAACTATGTCACCCCCCAGCTATCTCTGTGCTGTACTTTCTACCCTCTGGGCAGGGAACTGACACCATCAGTCTTCCCGCTTGCAGCCTTCATTACCAAACCAAAATCCTCAGAGCCTCTCCCTCATGGCTGCAGAACCCAGCTCAGAGCCAGCCGTGAATAATCTCTCCCACAATTAACTCCCGATGTTTACCGGCGTGATTGCCTATGGAGAAACTTCTGCCAGTCGGGATGGCACAGTCCCGAGGCACCTATCTCTTTAGGAAAGTGCTAATGTGAGGGAGCAGCATCATTAAGCCTCAGAGGAAAAAAGAAATGGAAAGAAGAAAGCGTATCCCCATGTGCTTACTGTCAACACCTCTGCTTGCAGTCTTCCAGCCTCCTTTCAAGTATGCTAGGAAAAGCTCTTCTGGTTAAACTAGAGCATAAAATTTGTGGTTTTCAGTCATATCCCCCCCTTAACGTTTCTCTCGTCTCTGGAGGAACAGTATTGCTCATTGCACTGGAGGGAAGCAACTTATGTAAACGGGAAGAGGAGAGGAGATGCTGCCTCTCCCTTAGCTGTGATTCTGCCCGTGAGAGAAAAATCCCAGGGCTCCGGGGCAGAGACCAACGCACATGTGAACTATTAATGGAAGAATCTCAGGACAATACAAATCTGCCTGCAACACTGAAATCCCTTTGTCAAGCACTTTCTTACGAGTGATTATAGGTCTGCTGGACAACATAGATTAACTAATCCTTTTTATTAAAATAACAATGAGTAAATCCTCTTTCGCAGCCGCACATGCTTTGACAAAGTGGAATCACTTTCTTGGCAATGAGACAGAATACTGGTGGTGATTCAAATCACCCTCTTCCAAGCAACTACCTAAGTTTTGTTATAAACAAATTATGTTTCACACATTTAATTAATTTATTATTTAATGAAAGCAATTTTTCCAATTTCATTAAAAATAAAATAGTTCTTTGACTATTAATTAGTTCTTATAACCATTACAAAGTTTGTGTGCATGTTTTTGGGTTGATAACGAGCTGATGCTGCATTCTCCATTTAGGGAATTTAATAAGTGGCTCGCTCAGACCTACAGAATTTGCTGTCCATTCATATAGCAACTGCGGCAGTTTAAAAGAGGCGGGTAAGACACTAAGTGAGTTTTAGCATTTACTAAACAAAGAGATATGTTGAACAGAAACAGCAGAGTAACTTCACAGCGTGCTTATCACTCTCTGTTTGTTGCTTGCGGCAGTATGCCTGACTGGTGATACAAAGCGTGTGATACTTTCACTTACCTCTGGGCAGCTTTTTTGGGACAAGGAAGCTGTGTACAGAGCTATGGGATGTAGTTAATTGCACCTGGAAATACGCAATCAAAATGTTTGGGTTGTGAGTGGGTTGGGAAGCATCTGACCAGAGTGGTTTCTGCCAGGCTGAGGGAGCAATTTATGTGAACTTTTTAACAGCAGCAATGCCTTCTGCCATTGGGATGTCCTCAAAAAAAAAGGGGCAGGGGGGAAGTGGCAAGTCCATTGCCAGAGTATTATCAAGAACCCTTCCTACTCTCCTCTACGAATGGCAAAAACTTGCTTCTTTTCATTTATTTCACAGCAGGATCCCTCCCTGAGATATGTGTGTGTAACTTGCCCTTGGAAACATTAGGAAAACTGATGTTTTGTTTTGAAGATCCTATTTCTTAAGGGGTGATCATATGCATCACATGACCGTATGTAATCCTGTCATTTTCCTGGGGTTGCAACAGTGATAACAGCGGACCCACTGCACTCTCTCCATATCATTTTATCTACAGTATTGTCTTGCCCGGCTCTGTAGTGCAGACACTGTGCTGGTAGAGGCATTTGTCTGTGTTTCTTGTGAACCATTATCCTGCTGTCTTTCCGTTCTCCCCACTGCTCGTGATAAGAGTGTCCATTAGGGAAGAAGGAATTACTTCTGTCAACAAACCGTAGCACTGGAAGTGTTACTACAACCTGTAGGTTTGCAAAGATTGTATACAGAAATTTATCCTAGCTCTCGAAGAAGCAAAAAAAACCCGCTACCAGGTCTGCAAATGTCCACAGAAGCCCCAGGGCCTGAGTGAGCATCACCGAGGCTGCCATCGGCCACCCCCATTCATCACCAGAGCTCTCCCTGTTCCTCTCCAGTCCCAACAATATGGAAGCAAAGCCGCAACCTCAAGCATCCAACAGCTGCTTGCCCGAAGATCCTTACCCAGTCCCAAAACGGAACCAGCTGTCTTCTTCACAGCCATGGTGGGAAGCAGTACACTAACGCAATTATTAGACAATGACTGCTTAGGGGACAGTGGATAGACTGTATTTGGTTTGTAGATAAGCACTTGTATTGTACATAAACTGCTTGAGGGAAGGAACATATTCACTCTCTTTATGGTTACACAGTCTGTGATTTTACCATAATGCTATAACATAAAGCTCAGATAACATTCACCACTACGTTTTCAATAACATTATCACTACGTACTGGTTAACTGAGGCTCTCAAAGTAAAAATGGCTTGTCCTGATCCTGTTGTGAGTCAGTGGGAGGACCAGGAGTAGAACACAGAATCCTCTCCCAGTGCCACACTCAGAGCATGTTGCGACTTTATTCCCATCCCTTTCTGGGCTCCCAGCATTCCCTGGGCAGCACTGACTTTGTTGTGATTCTGATTTACCATTGCTGCAGTGTAATCTGGAAGTTGGAGAAAAGATTAGAGTGCAAGACTGATTGTTTTTCTTCTCATTACTCAGATAAATTTGGCTGACATGCACGGGGGTGTGCTCTGATGGATCATATGGACAGGGAGGAGACTGACGCATGGACTTGCGTGGTGGGGAGGGATCCACAGTCCTAGACCACAGCAGAGGAACGTGGCCCTGAGACACAGAGGGCACAGAGCCCCAGTAGGAGAAGACAGCCCTGGCTTTGGGGCAGCAAACTCCATCCAGCTCTGTGACCTCCTCTGTCTAGCGTGGCTGGCTGGAAACCACAGAGAGCCTCGGCTGCCTCCATTTGCCGTGTGGGGTCACAGAGCAGGAAGGTTGCAAAACACCTAAAGGCACAAGCGAAGCCCATGTATTGCACAGGAGACTTGCAAAAGCAAGGGGAGCAGCACTCGTTGGCAAGCGTCTCAGAAAGACTTTCATTTTATCAAAGATCCAACATCCAGATTCCTAAGCTCTCTACATGCCTATCTTCTACTTTTTTTTTTTTTTTTTTTAACAAAACCCCTGTCATGGTGAATTTACACCAGAGACAGACTGATTCAAACAATAAGAAGAGTTTACAGCAATCCTAAAGGAAGACATAACAGCACATCAGAACCCCTGTGTTGTCGAATGGCAAACTGTCTCCCTGTGCTATGAATCCTCTCGTTAAAACACTCCACCACCGACTGGGTGGCACAACCCCCATGTAGCGATAGTATTATGAGCATAAGATCCCCTCACTTCTCCACTGACATTTAGAGAGCGGGTCACTGTCTCACTGAGAGTCCTGCGGCAACGAGTGGACTCTGACCATTCTTTTTAGAAAACGTGTGGGAAGAGGAACAGTCGTCCCTAAGAGCTGCTATGCATCTCTGCTCTGCAAAGATCCTACACCCAGTGCGAAATGTGACTTCCCCCCAAAAGACCACCAGTGCTGCTTTCCGCACAGGAAAATTTGCTACCCACCTCACTCTTTCAGTATTAAAACCCAAACTTGATTTAATAAAAACTTTTACAGATTTTCACTTTGGAGAAACTTCACCCGTACCTTAGCCCTGCCCCAGTTGCCGCTGCTCTGGGCAAATCTAAAGGTCCTTTTGGATTGTCCAGAAAGTTCATTTGCTCCATACGACTGACAGTAGGTGTCCACTACACCTGCAAACTATGCACACAGATTAGCTGAACTCTTTTATCTTTCTGTCTTCAGTGCAAGGAGTTCACCTTCCACACTGGCTACGAGGTCCTCGTACAGCGGCTGTTGGATGGGAGGAAGATGTGCAAAGATGTGGAGGATTTGCTCAAGCAGAGGTAAGAAAATCAGAGTGAAAAATGCGTGAACAGCCTGCATTTTCTCTCCTGTTTGGCATCTGGAATGGAATAATAGGCTGTTTCTGAATTTGGTAGTGATACTAGTTTACATAGAAAAGCGCGAGTGATTTGAATCCTAGCCTCTGATGTGATTTGTGAAGGTAGATAACAAACAGAAATTTCAAAGATTTGAGAAGGTTGAAAGAGTCAGAAATCCAGAGCTCCATTCATTAAGACCTGGGTCATTATTGGTCCAGAATCACACCGTAGCACGTAAGTAGCAGTACTGAGTTTCCCCTTTTACAGGGAGCAAATGACTTGCACGCTTTTCTTTCTCTTTGAACATGCTGTTGGCACAGGCACTGTTTCAGTTTCCTGCAACTACCAAAAAGGGGCCATTTTTCAAATATAGACAAAGCTACATAGGATGCTATGAAAAGACTTTCCCAGAAACCCAAGACAGTTTGCCAATCTTACCAGACTTTGAATAACAATGTTGTAATTTACACCCATCCTTTACGTGCTTCTTGGGTGCCACTCAACAACAGTTATGGACAGCTGACACTTTTTGTGGGTGAGAAAATACATATTGCACAGCTGCTCTGACTTCTTTGCCATTCATTTTTGTACTTCTGACTTAGAAAAATATATCCGAAATTTGGTTCTGTTTTTAAGTGGCCGGGTTTCAACAGTTCCACCGTGTAGTAGGAGGCACACACATGCTCAGGCATGACCTGTAGTAAAGGCCACGCAATACAGAACATATATTCAGCAGGTAATCCTAGAGCAGTTCAGCTCAAAACTGTCTCCTTACAAATACTGCTCTGCCTTCCTCAGCCACAGCCTGCTTTTTATTCCTATGCTGTCCCTATCTAGTTTTCTGATTTTACGTTGGACTTCTGAAAGCTACTTTTCAAGCACTGGGACTTTCAGGGGGATGTGAGCTGTCAAACTGAAAGTCGACTGTTTCACAGGGTGTGAAGAGTCTCCCATCAAAATCTGAAGCTATTTGAATTGTTTTTCTTGACCGCTAGTGGAAGCATATTTTATTGACGCGTGTCACACAGTCCTGAAGTCACATCTGTCTGATGTGATAGTTTAGCTTCAGCTGTTTAAAATAGCTCCTTTGTGACTCATAACTTACAGAGATCAGAATTACAGTGCAGGCTGCAGGAAGGCTCTGCACTGCAGCATGCATCTGATGCTATCCACGCCTGTGTTTCTTTCCAAAACATGACACGGGTTTCTGCAAGTTGCAGGATAAGGTTCTTCCTGGTTTCTGGTGGAGGCACAAAGGATTTCCCACAAAGAAGAAAAAACACGTACAGTTATTTCACAGCTCTGAAAGCTACAAGAACAAATGTTTCCATGAACTTTTGCACACCCCCAAAACATTCCAGTGAGCGTGCACACATGCGTGTGCTTGTGTGTGTACATGTGTGTTGAGGAAGGAGGAAAAGGAGAAAAGATAGCGGGCACTGAGTTGCAGAAAGAAGGTATCATTTCCAGTTTATTTCTGGAAGATGTTTGTTTCAGCTTGTCCTGATGTCATTCATGGGAATGACCTAGGAGGAGATGAAAGCATGGGGTGAATATCTGTTCCCAGAGGCTGCCCATACCATGGGCTTCACGCCAGGATTTCAACAGGGGCTCCTGCGGCTGCTGCCCCAAGTCCTGATACCAACTGCCTTGGCTACACTAATGCTTTGTCAGTTTTCCACCCGGGTTAATTGCTTTTGCGCACAAATACCCCTGCCTGGTCCAGAGGAGGGCCTAAGAGTGAGAAAGGGAGTGAGAAAGCAGCTGTATCCCAGAACAAAGCCCCAGATTTAAAACACAAAATATGTTCCAGTTCCAGACAGTTGCAGGGAAACCTAGAAGCTGTGCACAAGGGTACCAGAAAGTGAGAAAGGCAGCACCGAGGTGTCGCAAAGATGGTGTCAGCCTCCTGTCAAACTCCTCTTACCCTGGGCTAGTCCAGTCCCATGGCTGAGGTTTCAGGAGGATTTGACCCAAGGGTTTTGCAGGAGCTGGGACTGACTTAAGAGCTGGCCATGCTTTTTTCCTGAGATATACTGTGTACTGAGTGAGCAAAGTGGGACTGTAGCACTGGAGTTACTCTCGTTGCTGTACATCCATCAGCACTGAGCAAAGTCTCTGACACAAAAGTGTTTCTTGGTATTAAAATCAAAAGAAAATTAATCTATTCTACTTCTGTGGTGTTATGTGCCTCTGGAGTATATTTCCATTTTGATGACATTTCATTCATCTAACATGAAAATGAAGTGGTACCTCTGTGGGGCCCGTTCTTCTAGGAGGAATCCCAAAGTGATGACTTAGGAATACCCCCCTAAAATGCAGCAATATCTAGGGCAGGATGACAGCAATCATCTAATTGCACGTGCAACATGGGAGCCATGGACAGAGGCCAAGAACAGCCTCCACTCTGGGCTGCAGTGACTGTAGGCTGCTGTATGACCAGCACTCCTTGGACTAGGGGAAAGTCCCCAGGATGAGCCTGCCTGGGGTCACAGAAGATGGTTTCAAACCAGTGGAATTGCACTGGTACAGCTGGCTACAACGCAAGGTGCTCACAGCCATCAGACGCAGCGGAACAGTTGAAAGGGCGGTTGGGTGTTCTCAGACAGAGACCCAGCCCGACGGCTGCTGCGTTGCAAAACTGAAAGACCAGCCCTCGAACCGCTGGAACTCAGCAAACAGCAATAACAAAGCACAGTCTGGCCGAGTGGGGAGATGGATGTAAGAACAAACCACGGGGGTTGCATGGCCTCACACCTACATCAAAATTCCTTTTTCGAACAAAGAGTACGTTTCTCCAAGGTGCCCAGTTTCAGGCTCAAAACTGTTTGAAATGCTTTGAAACCCCTTTTGAGAACTGGACTTACGCTAAACACTCCCTCCCCACCCCCATATCCTAGCAGCAGGCTGTCATTACTTATTCTTGACCATTCAATGGTTTTTAGCAGCTACTCAGAGTCTAAACTCAGTTCCACCCTGGTCTTTCACTTCACAGAAAGGAAATAACACGTGGCCACCAGATCAAGGGAGGTGATTCTGCCCCTCGGCCGCCTTAGGGAGGATGCTGCCGTAGCAGCCTGCGGGTGGCCCGGTAGACTGGCGTTGGGGCCGGCGTTTTAACCACCCTCGTCCTGATCACGCCGGGTGGTAAATAACCGTAAGCCAAAACGTTGCCTTAAAATGGCTCCTTAACCATCCGCTCACGGTGCGGTCAAGTTTTCAGCGCACGTTTGCAAACGCGGCGGAACGGCCGCTGGGTTTGTGCCCCGGTGTTGGGGGTAGAAGCTGCTAAAACTTTTCCTTTCAGGTGGCTGGAATGTTAAAACGTGCTTGATTTATTCCTTAATGGAAGATAGTGCTGCTATTGTTTGTGGTAACTTAATGTGAAATGACTGGTCGAGTGGGAGGTGTCCCTGCCTATGGCAGGGGGGTTGGAACTCGATGATCTTCAAGGTCCCTTCCAACCATTCTGATTCTATGATTTACTACAAATAGTTGGTTTTGTTTTTTTTTAAACAGAGAACAGAAATGACTTCCAGAGCTGGGGGAGGCAAAAATAGCAAAGAAATAATTGTATTTATTCATTAACCATAGAAACAGAACTACTTTCCTGAGTCACTAGTTACAGTTCCCCATTTGATGAGACATTGCATCTATTGTTCCCTCCACAAAACTGTCCCAGCCTCACCTTACATCTATCAAGGCTCCTTTCCCCGCTGCCGCCACTGCAGCTCTTCAAGCAGCACCTCGCGTTTCTAAGGGTTAGAAATTTTCCTCCTGCTCCTGGCTATCAACCTATTTTCAATGGATCCTTTGGAATCTACTCTTGACTCCCCTCCCAGCCTTCATTTTGATGGGTCAAGCCATCATCTTTTAGGTTTCTTTTGCAAAAGAAGCTCGCTGTTCTGAGCATCTTCACTACACTTCCATACATATCTTCTTCTAAGAATCCAGCTTTTTGGGGACAGAGCCGTATGTAGCACTCCACAGTAATCAAAGCCATGGAGATGGGCTTCGTTTTCCCTCATTTCTTCCAGAAATAGCTCACACAAAATATTTTAGAGGTAACTAATAGCACTAGGATTGAGGAAGTGGAGAAATTAAATTATGTTTTGCACCTCGGATGCAATTACAAGATTTGTGTAAACGTGTTCCTGGTATCACTAAGAGAAATTGAATAAGTTTTTCTTTTAACAGAGCACAAGCAGAAGAGAGATATGGGAAAGAGCTGATTCAAATCGCCCGAAAAGCAGGAGGACAAACAGAAATCAAGTAAGGAATTATTTTATTATTAGTGTAAATGAAAGCATTTTGGAAGCAATATCAGACTCCTGTGTTTTGCCTATGAATAGGGGCATAAGCTGCTCACTTCAGTGAGCACTTCACACAGCACTTCACAATGTACAGGAAAAATGGGAAAACACCATAGTCCTTCAAAGCAGGATTCACAAAAAATCTCTATTTGGGGATTGCCAGTAGGCTTTTACTGAGAAATTTTTTAATTTCAGGATTCCTAACAATGTTTAATATTTGCTTCCAAGAGCAAACTAAGTGATGGGGGAAAAAACAGGAAAGGAAAAGGCTGTGAAATGTTGAGGATGGTGGCTTGGCAATTCTGGCAAGCTGGTGGACACTGAGAGACTGTGACAGCACAAACATGAAGCACAGAGATACCAAAAATTAGCTTCTGCAGCAGGAAAAAGGCTTAGCTTAGGAATACAAACTTTAAACCTCTTTGAAGGGACTTAATTTGAAACAAATCAATGGAAGTACTGAAATACACTCAAATGACCTATATTTTTCTCTGTCTCCTCTACTCTTATCTTAGATCGTGTATAAATTGTGTTGGGAGGGGAAGATATATGATGGCATGGAATTTAACTTAATAAACACTGCTGATAAACTGCTGCTATTATTGATGGTAGCAGTAATAATGAGACATTTTGTCATTATTGTAACAAGTAATAATACAGTAATAAGGTGGCAGAGGATGAAGATCTGGGGTCACAGAAGACAAGGATGAAAGTGAAGACCTCAATCTAAACACAAACCAGCTCTATTGATCCCTGGGGCCTGCTACCCTCGTCCGTCCCATATCTCATTTCTTAATTGCACTCTCCTTTTCACGTCAATTTATCATTCTCAGTGTGAGCATGGTTTCCTGCTCATATTTTATGGGAAAACTTGACCTCAAATCCTTGCACCACCATGGCATGGAAGTGCCAGGCAATCACCCATAGCACTTGCTATCAATTCGGTGGTGGTGCATCCAGGGTGACAGGGGAACCGTTGCATTAACCCAAGCAGAGAGCGCTGAGGCGCACTCCGGAGAATGTGCAAGTCTGTCCTCCCACTATTGCTCCATCTCTCCCTTGCCCCTGAGCAATGCAAATACAGCAAGGTTCCCAGCAAAGGCTGCTGGAGATGGCTTCTACCTTCCCTGTGGCTCAATTCACAGACCTAACCAGAGAAGAAAAAATATTTTGAAATTAAAATAGCAAATTAAGGATGGATGGCTTCTTCCCAAACCAAAGGCTAAGATCAGCGTTCCAGGATTAACGAAAGGCTCCACCTAAATTTCTTTACTGGCAATGCCGGGCAGGCAGAGCAAATGTGTTCAGAAACAGACAGCTTTGGCTGGCCTTCTGTGACTTAGTGGATAATTCATGGGTCTGTCTTTTCCTAAGAGATTATACGAGCTTGATTTAGAGGCAGAGCCAAGTCCCAGAGTTGGGATACGGATCCAAGTTCCCCTCAAGTTGGGGGAAGTTTGGACACAGGCCCAGCTCCACTTTGATCCAGCAATTTTATAGCTTGGCACAGAGAGAAGGCTGAACATACCAACAAAGCACGCTGCAAAGCTGATTTACTACGTTTCCATGAACCCAAGCCAGGTCTGGGTAGCGACCAGCTTTGCGCTGATATTTTTATCAGAGCAAATGTCTCACTGTATCTGTACTGAAGCAGAGAGAGGACACTGTTTTCTGTCATTCAGCATCCTCTGGTTGTTTCAGGAGTTAGATGGGCAGCGAAGAGGCATTTGTCCAGAGTAATCACTTTAAAAATCAGAGAAAACTAGGGTCTATTCAGGGCTGGAACAACTCATGGAAATGAAATATTTGGGTTTAGTGCCTTAAAATTTTTGACACAGTGGGAAGTTTCTGTTTGTTTATATGACATTGATTGCTGACAGCAATTCTGCTCCCGAGGTCAGCCCTTCAGGGAGACCAGAGGGAGGGAACCTATGTACCGCCTGTGAAAAGAAAAGCTTGAAAGGACTATGCTACACCTATCCCTGTGCATTACTCCAACTGCTTTGTCTTTATAGGGCTCCCTGTTATCGACTAGTACACTGAGTCCTAATGGTGCTACAAATACTTGGCAGGCTGAACAGGGCTGTTCACATCTTTGAATGCAGCTTTGGGTAGCAGTATTTCTCAAATAAAGTCCAATGAAGGTGGTGCGCAGGGATTTGTAACTAAAACTTGCATTTGACACTCACCAGGAAAAAAGTAGCTTCCAGGTTTTTTTGCAGAACATTTTACAGAACTTCCTGTGCCATGCTATGTATTGCAGAGGAGCAGGAATTATTAATTTTAGATCACTCCCTCATTTTCTTGCTAATGCAAAATTATTATCCTCTAGTCTTAAATTCAGTCATCTTTTAAACGTCTCGGCTACTAAGGCTTTCTATCATTTCTCCAGGGAAACTATTTCACAACCCAGTAGTTCTCAATATCAGGAAGATACCTCATACCCTTCCAAAAAGTCGATATAAAGAACAGAAATCTGTCCACAACAACCACCCAAAACCTTCCAGTATCAGAGAATACACAGGCCAATTAATTCTGTTTAGCACAACTTCTGAACCTAATGAATTGGCTGCAAAAACCTCCCATCACTCCACCAGGTCAAAGTGATGCTCTGTAGCTGCAATGGAAAGCAGAGTGGGAGAGAAGCGGCACAAAGCCAGAGCGAACAGCAGTCCCCACACAGGGACCTGTTGGCAAACCCACGCCTTAGCCAACGCCAAATCTGCCGAACTGGAGATGGTGGCACCACTATGTGTGATGGGCAGTCCAGCAGGGCCTCACGTGCTTATGTCCTCCCAATACCAGTGTGAACAGCTCCTTCCTACTCCAGAAACGCAGTCCCTGGCAGCCACCCAGCTCTTCTAATCTCAAATCCTCAGAGGTTACGAAATGGAGAGAAAAAAAAACCCCAAACCTTTCTGTTGCTTCCTGTGCTTGGAGAGGAGAGGGTCTGCTCAGGGGATAAACTAGGCAGCGGTGGGGAGGTACAGCCTGGGTTGTTACTTCAGCACAGCCAGGGCGAGCACGAAACAAAGCAAAGAGAATAAGCATGATGAGTAAATACGAGCAACTGGGAGAAGCCTGGGGAGGTCTATGGAACACTGCACCAGGTGGTGGCCATCGCTGTAGAAAACAGTTCACTCCCAAGCCTCCCCCGTATTTTAAAAGCTTTGAGGTTTGAATCAAAGGAAAGAACAATTTCAATGTTTTTTCAGGCTCTTCCCTTCTCCCCCAAAATTTTGCTTCAGCTGGAGCAAATTGCTGAACTCAGCTAAACATATAAATAGATTCAACTGCCCATTTTCATTTGACTGAGAGACACAGATGAAGAAATATGCTGCCGACTCAAAAGAAAGATAGTAGGGAAGGCTCGCTGAAATGTAATGGCAACCCTGGGACCCCTCTCTATAGCTTTGAGAAAAATCTAGGTGACAGCAGCCATCAGGTTTCCATCCCATATGCTGTCCAGTGCTTGTTCCCTCAGCATCGTTACAGCTCCTCTGATGGAGAACTGACCCCTCAGGGCCCGGCACTGCTCGTGCTTGGCATAGGCAACTGCAAAGACTCTAGTAGGACGCTTCACTACTGAGTATCAGCAGTAATATAGCATCGTGACCTGGGAGAAGAGAGCAGTGGTGTGTCTCTACCTGCAGACTCCTTAGCACCAGAAATGTGAAAAATCACTTTGACCTGAGAGCTACTAGGGGACAAATTTTTAGCACTGCTACTGGAGGTACAACTGACTTGAGTAAGGTCCTTGCTGTTCTTTTTCAAACCAGTATTGGAAATGGCCATGGCGAGCCTACAGCTGTAGAAAAATTTCTAACAAAACTAAAATCAGAGAGGTGGTCATGCTGCAATGAGGGAGATGTGCTGGAACCACTTTTTATTTTTTAGCTTTTTAAAAAAAGCAAAGACAGGGTTTCTAAAAGAAGCTGGTGCTGGTTACCATGGGCATAGCAAACAAACACTCCAGCTTCCAGCTCAAGAAACAAAAGTTCACTGTAAGCGCTGCCTAACAGCCAAAAGAACACAACCATTCAATAGTCCAGCCTGATTCAGGCAAATTCAGGCGTTCTGGCTGCTTGCACTTGCCTCGAGCACTGCAGCTGGTAGAAACTACTTCCTATAGGGAAGGGAGATAGCCTCTTTCCATCCCATGACACATATCTAACTCAGCAGTTGCTGTAAGCCTTGGTGAGTTCGTGCTAACGTACAGAAGGAAGCACACACTTGAATCTAAGTGTGAGACTGCAAGAAGGGTCACACAGGCTCAGACCAAAATCCCTTTAGTCTAATACTCTGTCCCCAGCACTAGATCCCGAGGGAAGAGTAGAAGAACAGGGAAAACACAGGAGGATATTTCTCCTCAATAACCCTCTGGCCTTAGCAATTGGTAGTTCAGGGGCTGCCACACCAGCAGCAGTTTGTATGTAATAGCCTCCAGTGGAGTTCTCTTGTGTCTTTTTCTCATTTGAAACCCTCAAACATCTTAGCACCCACTGAATCTTAAGCAATGTACTTTCCCGTTAAGGTCAGAAGTGCCTTTCTCTTTGTTGATTGTTAGCCCACCTCACCACACTTGCTGGGTTAGATCAAGACACACATGACAGAGGCAGATTAACCCCTTACAGTGGGGCTGCTCAACACACGCCTGCACTGGTGAGCTGCAGTCCCACTGCCTGTTTGGGTTCTTACAAACAAACCCAGGTACATAGTAACACCAAAACTATGGAAAAGGCTGCCTGCTTCTGTCAAGCTGATCACCTGGATGTGCCAGCACAGTCACGGATGCAGGCTATGCCTGGGAACACAGGTAGCTGGGGAGTCTTAGTGAAGGCACTGGGAGGAAAACAGGTATTGGAAGGGACCATGGGAGAAAACTGGTTGCAAATGTACCTCTTGAGTGGGTCAGACCTCGGAGAGGGCAAGGGCAGCCCTTGAGGAGTGGGTGAGGAA